CATAGATAGGCTTGTCCACTCCTACTTCCACCATTGCCTATCCATACCACTCCAAACCCCCCTTAACCAAATAAAATTTACAAAAAACATGACACCATTTGGAGTAAATGGCCAACATGGCCTTTTATTAACAACTTCACATTTTAACATACATCAACCGTTCCTTAACGGAAACCAAAGAATTGTTGTTGGTCTTCAAAAGCACCCACAAACGATCCAAAATGCACCTGCGGACAACCCTATACACTAGGCCTCCAGCCGCAACCAACCAGCTCGGAGACAACCATACCGTCCGCAGTGCAGCACCACCACCTTCCAGTTAAACCTTGGTTAACTGGGAATATCCACCGGGCCCCCCATACCACGGATGGGGTCCCACACCATTGTTTTCCTTCCAAGATGAGAACCACCTCCAAAGACCAACAAACGCCACAGCACGCTGGGTAAGCCCTTACCCATGCGTGCCACGCCACAAACGAACCGCCCGTAGTATGCCGTCCTGCAGCTCCAGGGACCACAAATCCGTGCCCACCGCATGCAAATGCACTCCATCACTGCGAAGGTACCGCCAAGTATCCACCTCCAACTCCACATGCCGGACCACCAATCCTCCATTGCGACTAAAAAAGCACCCCACCCTCCCGGTTGACCTTAATCCTGGCCTTGTTGAGCCGCTCCACCCACCGCGCCAAGCGCCAAAAAAGTGCGGGCGACCATGTCAGACCACACCACCACCATCCCCGGAAACTCACGCCGCAACTGAAGAAAGTCCAGCTCGACATCTCTAACCAGTTCCCGCATGGACCTACCCCCCAAATTGTTGCCACCCGCGTGAATCACCAACACATCCGGTGGCCTATCCAGCTGCGCAAAACACCGCACCTCTGGCACGACTCCACAACATGCCCGGCACACCTAACCAGCGGACACAAACCTCCCTTCTATCCAACCCCAGCTGCCTGCCATTGGGCCGAACATCAGCCCGCCTGGCCCCCCAAAACACATACGAGTGACCCAGGATCCACACCAGGCACACCGCACCACCTGAAAGAAAAGAAACAATACCGCCAGAACAATACAGCACAGGGACAGAACCGCAACTACCTCCCACAACCCAAACAAACAAAACACAGGACCGCCCACTAAGCCCGCAACAAATGCGGCCGAACGTACAGGCGAAATCTCTGGGAATCCCACCTACCAATGCGCTTCACCACATCCTCCGACAGCCCCCACCTGGCCGCCTCCGTAGCAGCCCCGATCCGAAACGAGTGCGAAGCATACAAAGACGCATCTAAACCAACAGCCGTCAAACACCGGCGAAAAACTGCCACAAATTGAAAACGCATTAAAGGGGATCCATCAACATGCCTGAAAAAGGACCCCCGCCCCCCAGGGCGACGGGACAAAAATTCCCGAACTGCCTGAACAGGGCACACCAGTGAACCCGGAAGAGCGAAAAAACGCACCTTCGCACCCCTGCCCAATTGATCCGTCTTAGACCGACGGACCAGAACCTCCACCCAATCACCGGAGCACACAACCTCCTCCACCAACAACCCCCCAAGAACCGACTTGGACGGACTAACGAGCTCCCCAATCCGCAAAGCCCCAAAAAAAGCCACCGCAAAGGCAGCCTGAAATAAATCCACCTCAAAATCCAAAGAACACACAGTCCGCAAATGCTCAAACAAAGACCCCAACAACGCGAACGACACTGGACGACGAGAATCCCTACAACGATGAGCCCTCCGATAACCCCGCAGAGCCTGTCGAACCCAAAAATCCTTAGTAAAATCCCGACACCTTTGCAACTTAAAGAAAAACGCCAATGCCGCTAGTCGGCGATCCACTGCGGACGCCGACACCCCCCCCGCTCCAAACTCCGTGCCAAGAAGTACAACACTGCCACACACACCTCCGGCCCCCAGGGATCAATAGCGACCAGTCGCAACAGCTCCAGCCATTCCCGCCAGACCGTAGAGTAAGCGGATCAAGTCGCCTCACTCACCGAACGCCGGATCCAGCCCGCAACGACTCCAAGGCAATCTCCCACAGCCAGTCGGGACAAGGAACCCCGTGTTGCTCCGCCGCCGGCGCAAACTCTCGGAATTTGTCCCACTGAAAACGAGACCAAGCGTCAGCTAAGGTGTTGTCAACCCCAGGGAGATGTACCGCATGGAGAAAAACATTCAGCTGCAAGCAACGCAACACTAAGTGGCGAAGCAGGGCCACCACCGGTCGGGAAGAAGCCGAGACCCTATTGATGACCTGAACCACCCCCAAATTGTCGCAGTGAAAACGCATCTTTTGATTCCGAAAATTCTCCCCCCAAACCTCAACCGCCAATACCACTGGAAAAAGTTCCAACAGCGCTAGGTTACTGAGAAAACCTGCCTCCCGCCAGGAAGCCGGCCACGAGGCCGCACTCCACCGACCCTGGAAAAAGGCCCCGTATCCTGCAGAAGCCGCCGCGTCCGTGAACAGTTCCAAGTCAAAATTACTAACCGGGCCCGATATCCAAAGCGCCCGCCCGTTGAAAGAATCCAAAAAGGTGTGCCACAATTGCAAATCCTCCCGATGCTCCCGAGTCAGCCGAATGAAATAAAATGGGGAGGCAATTCCCGCCGTCGCCGCCGCCAACCGGCGGCAGAACACCTGACCCATCGGCAGGATCCGACAAGTGAAATTAAGTTTTCCCAACAATGACTGCAAGGGCCGCAGCTGAATTTTACGCTTCCCCTGAACCGCGCGAATTTCACCCTGAAGGGCCAACAGCTTCTCTGCCGGCACTCCATTGCGCCAGAATCCAAAACGATGCCCAAGAAAGTCATCACCGAAGCCGGACCCTCCGTCTTGTCAGCCGCCAAAGGAATCCCGAAACGGTCAGCAACGTGCTGCAACGTAGCAAGCAAAACCGCGCACACCCCGGAAGCCGGCGGACCCACGCAAAGAAAATCATCCAAATAATGGATGACCGAATTCACCCCCGAAACATCCCGAACCACCCACTCCACGAACGAACTGAACTTTTCAATTTCCGCACAAGATACAGAACACCCCATGGGCAAACACCTATCCACGTAAAACGCGCCCTGCCAACGGCAACCCAAAAACAAAAACTGTCCGGATGAACCGGCAACAGCCGGAACGCCGACTCAATGTCGGACTTTGCCATGAGTGTACCGCGCCCATTTTGACGAACCCAGAACACTGCCGCATCAAAGGACGTGTAAGACACCGAACACGACTCCGGGTCTATAGCGTCATTCACCGACCCCCCCTTAGGGAAGGACAGGTGGTGAATTAACCAAAACGCATTCGGCTCCTTCTTAGGCACAACCCCCAAGGGAGAAACCACCAGATCCGCAAACGGAGCACAAGTAAACGGACCACCTAATACGACCCAACCCCACTTCCTTCCGCAACTTAGCCGAAACCAGTTCAGCATGCTGCAAGGCCAACCGTAAATTCCGAGCTAAGGGGGGGACCAAAGTCAAAGTACAGGGGATGCGAAAACCCTCCGAAAAACCTGCCGCCAGCAGCACCGCCGCAGCCCGATCAGGATATCTATTTAAGAAAGGTTCCATCCTTTCCACCCGCACCGGCGTCGTCCCTCTTACCCGCAGGCTCTCCGGGAGGGCCTCTACCCCGCCTGAAACAGCGCGAGAAAGGGTGGGATCCACCGCACCCGGAACACTCGTGCCTGAACCTGCAGGACCCTCCAAAACGACAAGTGCCCTCCTGGAACTGCCAGCAGAAACCCCTACGCTTGGCGGCCGATTGTCCCGGGGGAAAACGAACCACTGGCCCCGCCCTGAAAAAACGGACCAGGAGCCCTCGGCGGCGCCATGAGCCGCATCCAGAGGCCAATGTCCTTGTGGTCCCAACGCAAAGACGGGCGAACAGCCCTCCGCTGCCTAAACTGCTCATCGTACCGAAGCCACGCAGACCCGCCGTAAACCCTGTGAGCCTCACTAATGGCGTCCAGGTAACAGAACAACGCCGAGCAATGCTCCGGAGCTTTCTCACCAATAACACTGGCCATGATTGCAAAAGCCTGCAACCAATTCGCAAAAGTACGCGGGATAAGCCGAAAACGCCGCCGCTCCGCATCCTCCCTTCTACCGTCATCAACCCGGGACCCATCGAACGGAAAACGCTCCAAAGGCAAGAGCGTGAAAATGTCCACATACTCCCCTTTCCAAATTTGTTCCCGCATGGCCGACTGCAAATGCGCACCCAAGGGGCCCTCAAAACACACATACACCTCCCCCTTCGCCGAGTCCGCCACGCCGACAGGTCCGGACACCCCGGAACCCTCCCCCAAACTCGCGGAAAGAACCGCAGAGCCCAGAACCCCAGACTCCGCGGTAACCACCCCAGTCCCATAACTAAGCGGAGAAGAGACCCCTAGGCCCCGCACCACCCCGCAGTCCTGTCCAGGAACCGCGAGCCCCTCCCCACCGGCCGGCGGGAGCCACGCAGAAGCAGGCCCAGGGGTCCCAACACCGCCCCACTCCAGCCGCTGCAACAAGTCCCGCAAACCGGAAACCACCTCCCCGACCCCCACCTAAACCTGACGGGGGAACGCCGCCAACGCACGCCGCCGAGGCCGCCCCCACAGGTGCGGCCTGACCGCCCCCCAGCAGATCCCGCAACGCAGAAGAAAGGGAGACAGACACAGGAACAGATAACTCACCAGGCTGCCCAGGAGATGTCCCATCAGCCGCGCGCTCCAGCTCCACCGATGAAGAGCGGCGAGCCGTCGCCCCCGCATCGGGTTCCGACAGCTCGCCCTCTGACCTCTCGTCTACCGCTCGATGTCCGGATGGCCTCCCGGTCCCAGGAGCCACGGGTCCTGCAGGGCTGTGCCGCTCGCGACTCCGCCTCTGGGCACCAGCCATGCCCGCCGCCATCCCTGGGCTCCATCCTGCAGCACTCCCAGCTGCACTCCGCCCAGCACTGCACCGCTTCTGCCTTTTTCCAGGAGCCCCAGCTCCCGACTGTCCAGGGGGCCCACCAGCCGCATCAGGGGACAGCCCGGCAGCCGCAGCTGAACGTCTCCCTCGTCGAGCTCCCTCCCTGACAGACAGCCTGTCAGCGGAGGAGCCGGCACCCACTCTCAGTCTTCCTCCTCTGCGCCGTGCGGGCGGGGGGGAGGGGCTACCACGCGAAACCCCGCCCGCCGAGCTCACTCTGCTTCCTCCTTGCCGTGCGGGCGGGGGGAGGGGCCACTCAGCGCAACCCCCACCCGCCGAGCTTCGCCATCGCCGGGGATTCCTCCCGGCACCTCTGCCAGCAGAGGCAAGTGAGCGCCCTGCCAGCGGGGCCGGAGGGTCCCGAGGGGGGCTCCCAGTGCGGCGCTGAGCTCCAACAGGGGGCGGGGCCGGACTGAAGCGCTCCGGAGGCCTAGACCTCCGAGCACGTGGGCGCACCCGCCCCCCTGCAGCTGGTGACAAGCCCGGGTCTCCCAGCAGAGCAGAGACCCGGCCCTGCAACCAGTCCGTACATCTGTCAGCCGCCGCCACCCGCAGCTGTGCCAGAAGTTCCTCCATGCTGCACCGGTCCGATGGTGGGAAATAGCAGGACCCAGCTCAAATGAAGCTCTGGTCCTTGCACACATCCAGCTCCCGATGCCCCTTCCTCAGCAACCCCCACCCTACGGTGCCAAAGACCCCTCCTACACTCCACATCTGCCAATCCCGTAATTTCCAATCAATTCCCCACCCCTTGGAGCTAAATTTTAACCCTTTCCGTTCCCCACACCACTCTGGGCCTAGTCATGTATGCCCTGCGCTATTTCCATTCTTCCCTATTCGCTACGGGCATTTCTTGAATAGAGTTTTGCGAAATAACTCCAAGCCCCATGTTTCCTCATTATGATATAAAGTAAAATGACACATCCTGATTGGTATTTCCTTGCTCAATAAATCTACAATACTCACTAAATGTGGTGCACATCTTGCGAATAGTATAACCAACTTAATATATATCACATAGATATTTCAAACTATACACTAAAAACTGTGTGCTACAGTTGATAAATTGCTTAACTCCATCCTTGGCGCTGGCTCATCGCATATATGCGACCACTGTTACATGATTAGAAACCCTGCCCCATCTCCTAGCATCTAAAACCCTTTAAAGGGCTGTGAGGCACCGGCACCAAGGGGTTAATTTAAAATACTTTGCCATCACTACCCGTGAAACTTTTTTGTCCACGATGAATGAATTGACATGCTCAACATTTCTTCTTTTTACAGCAGTAAATGAATGTTTAAAAATACAGGCAAGAGTAGGGTCTCAATTGCTCACCCAGCGCTAAAGGTCATTTGGCTGGGATCTCAAGTACTGGTCCAATATGACTTGCTCCACCATGAGAGGATCTGTCAATACCTCTGCAGAAACAAAAAAACACTAAAAAGAGAAAATCAGCGCATAAAGATCCCTAAATCCTATTGGCAAGGGGCACAAGATAAATGTTCATAAAGTCCAATGAAGCCCATGAGTCCATATAGCAGTAGGGCAAGCTCTTGTAGCTGTAGCAAGCTCTGTGTGAAGATAAGGAAGAAAAAAGTGCAGTATGTGACATTTATTGGGAAGCAATGTAAAAGCACTCACATTGTGTAAAAAATAAGAAGGCTCAGGTAAGTGGAGTAATAGCCGAGTCCTCGCTGCAATGGCAATGTCCGCAGTAAGGGAGACTGTGGATGTTACAGGAAAGCCGGCCGGCATGTGAAGTCTCCGAAGATGGCATGTGGAGTGTACCTTGGAGTGCAACGTTGGCATCAGTGTGATGACGTAGGGGAGACCAGCTGTCAGGGATCCCCGCGGCGCTGGTCCCGGCGCAGGCGTAGTGTGCCGCCTGGTGCAGGGATGCGGGCACTAGGTCCAGGTCGCGGGCGCGCGCCTGGCACCAATGACAGCACAGGGCGCGATATTTAAACGTCCCTGAGCTGTCATTCAGTGCCTTCTGGTCTTACCTGCTCCCTGAATCTGCGAACCTGTACCCTGTAAGTTGCTGACCCGGATTGTACCTGCCCACTCTGTATTCTCCTACTCTGACCCTTGGCTTGCCTGACCTCTCTCCCGGATGCCCCCTATTGGATCTGATACTCTGTTACTGACCTGGCGTGTGACCCGACTATTCTCTGCCCTCCGCTTTGTACCGCACCGTCCCCACGGCTACCGACCCGGCTTGTCTGACCTCGCACCTGCTCAGCCATCCATCCCATCGGGGTCACCCGACCTCCTCATATCAGGCTCTCTCCTGTTGGAGCCCCTGGCGAACACCCCTACCACTGACGGTGTACTCAGTAGTCGCGACCTGGTCTCGGGGTACTCCAAGTCCATCCCCACCATCAGGGGCCCTGGTGAACAAGTACTCTGGGGCTTAGATTCTGCGCTCTGGGGACACCTGACCAGTGGAGTGCTAGTGGTGCCGTCAGGCGGTCCGTTACACCAGCATGCAAAGTGAAGCGTTTAGATTCTGTAGAAAGATCTAGTCCAGAGTGGAGCTTGGGCCTAGGCCTGTTTGTGTGGATTTGTTCCCTGGGTGTGTGCATGTGCACTTTCCTGCTGAACTACTGGACTTTGCATCTTTGCCTGTTTTCTTGAGTACTCTATTTGCCTGATGATTCTGCATTACTCTGCCAGCCTGTGTATGATCCTGCTGTCTCCAACCACGCTTCTTGATTCTGACCTTGCTGTCAAGATTTGTTGCTGACCTGCTTGCCTTGACTACGCTAACATCTCAAAACCCCAGCCCAAGCTCCACTCTGGACTAGATCTTTCTACAGAGTCTAAACGTGTCGCTTTGCATGTTGTTACATACTGCACTTACAGGTGCTTTTTTCTTCTTTATCTGTCAACACCACAGGCTACAGCCATTTCTTGAGCAGCTGAATCAGGTCATGCATTGGGGACCTTGGTGGCCAGTCTGAGCAGTACCTCCAGCTGTGTACTCTTTGGGCCCGTACAGTGGTAGCCACCCCAAAGCAAGCCAAAATATCTGTCTTTAGCCATTTGTAGTCCTTAATGTCAACAAATGGCAGGTCAGAATAGGAATTTTGGGAATCCCTGTGAGAAATGGGGCAATAAGTCCAGCCCACTGGTCTTGAGGCCATCCTTTTCTCTCCTCTGCCGTTTCAAAAGTGGCCAGAAATGCCTCCAAATCGTCACTGGGAGTCAGTTTCTGCAACTGGGGGCTAGCTCTGTGGCAGGCGCAGCACTTGTAGTGCCTTGTGCGCTGTGGCATTAGAAAAATTATGCAATTGCTGATTCTTTTGTTTGACTAGATTGACTTTACTCCGTAATTCCTCCAATGCCGCTCTATGGATGCAGTAGGTTTAAAGAGCACACCGAATGCTTTAGTTAACTTCATTAATAACTTCAATATTCTTCATATAACACTGCTTACAATGGCTTGTTTCGTTTATCTTACAGTAGCTTATTTCTTTCATATTACAATGGTTTAATTCGTATTACATTGGGTTGATTCGATAGCTTATCTCGATAGATTCGGTGGAACTACAAGTAAACACACACAACAGTTTTTACATACAGATCTACTTGCACTGCTAAACAATAGAGGAACACATAAGTGCATTAAATACCTATTTGGCCTTCTCTGCTTCCATAAAGCTCCTCTGACTGGAACTTGTCTGTTTCCTCTTCTGTCTGGTGAGCAAGTGTCTCTAGAACAATCTAGCAGGGAGTTTTACACAGGCATAGATGTGAAACTGGCTGGGATTGGTTAAGGCACTGTACAGTGTGAAGCTGTCTGTAATTGGCTCAGCTCTATACTGACTCTTAAAGGCATATTTTCCTTTTCTGCTTCTGCTAACACAATGAATATATAAATGTCATATAACATTCAAAGACATAGATTACAGCAATGATTCTGCTTTTGGCTTTAACATATGCACATATACACTGTACTGAGGTTATTGGCAGGTTTGGTATACACATATATGTGAACCATATTAGCAACCTAGGACTGGTCTTAGCTGGCCAGCTACAAGCTCTCTGGGCTTTGGTTGTTGTTAGGAGCAACAGTCACTTGTTCCTGTTCCTGAGAGAGATGCTGCACAACCTCATGTCAGGTGGTCACTTAAGCTTGCGTTTCATGCTGGGCTGTAAACTAGGTGGCCAGTAAGAGGGTATTTTCTGTTGTGCTGTAACTTTCTTGGTCAGGGCCTGCAACTGCTGAGCAATGACCCCCTCATGGTATGTCCTAATTTCTACATGGTGGTGATTGACTTCCACAGAGGCCTGCTGCTGAGCCACTGTAGCTTGAACCAGGGCCTTGACAACCTACTCCTGCTCTGCCCCAGGAGATGCAAAAACGGTGTATGGGTCTTTTAAATGTCAGTATTTTTTTTACATCAAATGGCTTTATTGTTGTATTGCCCATAACAGAGCACTAAATGTCATATGGAGGGCACAAGATAACCAGCAAACCCCAAAAGTAAATAGTCTTTATTGGTCTCTCAAAACAGGCAAACACAGTTCTCTTTCTTCAGCTCACCACCATTCTCTTATTCCCACACTGGGGTTTGGGATTCAAACTTGTTTTTGGGGTACAAGACAAGCTGCAGAACTTCAGTCAAATCCAGGGTCTCAGTCTCCAGTGAGTCCACCATAGTTCACAGCTGTGAATTTCAACCCTGCAGGACCAGTGTCAGGAATGGACTGGCCAGCAATAGTGGGACTCAGCTGCCTTATGAGCTGCAGTACCAGGGCTGGCCAGCGGGTGCTCCCAGCAATCAGAGACTCAACCTTGCAGCCAGTCAAACACCTGGAACTAATTATACTGGTGTATTTAAGGGACATTCAGACCTGCAGACTCTGCCTTGGTATTGTGTTTCTCTTGTGCCCTGTATCCTGTTCCTGCTCTCTGTTCCTGTCTGATTCTCTGCTGACCCTGCTCTGATCCCTGGCTTGTCTGACCATTCTCCTCTGCCTGACCCTCCGTACCACGCTGCCCGCTACCTGCTGAACCTGGCCTGTGACCCCGACCATTCTCCGCTTGCTCCCCCTGTACCTACCTGCCCGACTGATATTGACCCGGCCTGCCTGACGACGCTTGCATTGTATGTACTGTTATCTGTGGGTGGTTGGTTGGTTGGTTTGTTTGCACTGTGTTATGCTTTAGTATTGCACTGCGTTTATGTTTGTATGGTTAGTGTTAATAAATTACATTGTTTATAACATATCTGAAGTCTGCGTTTCCCTGCGTCAGTCACACACCTCTGGTCATACCCGGGAGCTCTGACATTACACCAAGGCCAATCCTGACCAGAAGTGGCTGCACAGGGAAGCCATCTTGGCTTGTTGATGGGAAGGATGGATCTGGATGAGGTTGCGTATTTATATCTGCTAGTGTTTGATGACAGGGAGTATGCTTATCAAACTCTGAAGGAGTATACCCGGGATGAACTGCTAGAATGTATACGGCTCGCTCATGTTCTAGTAGATCAGGGCACAGAGTTCTCTGAGGTGCAGCCTTTGATTGAGGTTTGTGCTGAGTTGGTTTCATCTGGTACCCCCGAATGCAGGGATGAATTTTTGCCACCATTTAGTGCAGACCAGGTGGAGTCCCTGGTGTGGTTATTAGAGGATGATGTGGGTTACTTTCTGGAGCGTTATTCCACATGTTCACCACAGACACTAAGAGGTTGTATAAACGCAGTGCAGTCTTTGGTCAGACAGGCTTTGTGTAAGCTCAGCTTTGTTCAACCCATACTGCAGACATGGACAGACTTGTTGCACCCAGCCTCAGTCAGCTTACAAAAACCCAGTCCTGCTTCTAATCTATTTCCTCAAAACTCTATTCCTGCATTCCCAACAGCTCCTCCTACCCTGCTATCTACCGCATGTCAGTACCCCTGTTCCCACTCGCTGCACCTATCCTGCCTTTAACCCTGTAAAAAATCCCTCTGTAGCAACTGCTCCCTCTCCTGTTCCATCCTCCAGTTCTTCTCTGTCTCCAGCTGCTCCATTCTTTTGCAGACCTGCGTTTACTTGCAGTGCTCCGTAGTTAAAACCAGAAAAAAGCGAAAATTCTTTCCAACCAATACCATCCTGCCAGTATCCAAACCGGTGAACCTGCCTTCCGTGGTTCAGCCTGAAGCCTCTACTCGGCCTGATGCCTCTACTCGGCCTGATGCCTCTACTCGGCCTGATGCCTCTACTCGGCCTGATGCCTCTACTCGGCCTGAAGCCTCTACTCGGCCTGAAGCCTCTACTCGGCCTGAAGCCTCTACTCGGCCTGATGCCTCTACTCGGCCTGATGCCTCTACTCGGCCTGATGCCTCTACTCGGCCTGATGCCTCTACGCGGCCTGATGCCTGTACGCGGCCTGATGCCTGTACGCGGCCTGATGCCTGTACGCGGCCTGAAGCCTCTACTCGGCCTGAAGCCTCTACTCGGCCTGAAGCCTCTACTCGGCCTGAAGCCTCTACTCGGCCTGAAGCCTCTACTCAGCCGGACGCCGGCATTCAGCCTGATGCATCTACCCAGCATGATGAACTGATCCAGCCTGACGATCCTATTAGGCCAGTTGACTTGATGCCCGCTGTTGATCCAGATGATCCGGTACCTGATCCGGTGCCCGCTGTCGTGCCAATTGACTCAGAGCCCGCTGTCGTACCTAGTGACTCGGTGCCCACTGCCTTGCCAGATGACGCGGTGCCCGCTGGCGAGCCAAATGACCTGATGCCTGGTGACCCAGTGCCCGCTGTCATACCTGGTGACCCGATGCCCGCTGTCGAGCCAGACGATCCAATGCCTGGTGACCCGGTGCCCACTGCCTTGCCAGATGACGCGGTGCCCGCTGGGAAGCCAAATGACCTGATGCCTGGTGACCCGATGCCCGCTGTCCAGCCAGACGATTCAATGTCTGCCCCAGTGCCCGCGGTCATGCCAGTTGACTCGGAGCCCACTGCCTTGCCAGATGATGCGGTGCTCGCTGTCGAGCCAAATGACTTGATGCCTGGTGACCCGATGCCCGCTGTCCAGTCAGACGATCCAATGTCTGACCCAGTGCCCGCGGTCATACCAGTTGACTCGGAGCCCACTGTCGTGCCTGGTGACTCGGTGCCCGCCGTTTCGCCTGGGGGCTCGAGACCCGCCGCCGCTCCGCCTGGGGGTCCGGCGCCCGCCGCCCCGCCTGGGGGCCTGAGACCTGTCGCTCCGCCTGGGGGCCCGAGACCTGTCGCTCCACCTGGGGGTCCGGTGCCCGCCGCTCCGCCTGAGGGCCCGAGACCTGTCGCTCTGCCTGGGAGTCCGGCGCCCGCCGCTCCGCCTGAGGGCCCGAGACCTGTCGCTCCGCCTGAGGGCCCGAGACCTGTCGCTGCGCCTGGGGGTCCGGCGCCCGCCGCTCCGCCTGAGGGCCCGAGACCTGTCGCTCCGCCTGGGGGCCCGAGACCTGTCGCTCCACCTGGGGGCCCGGCGCCCGCCGCTCCGCCGCCTGAGGGCCCGAGACCTGTCGCTCCACCTGGGGGTCCAGCGCCCGCCGCTCCGCCTGAGGGCTTGAAACCTGTCGCTCCACCTGGGGGTCCGGCGCCCGCCGCTTCGCCTGAGGGCCCGAGACCTGTCGCTCCGCCTGGGGGTCCGGCGCCCGCCGCTCCGCCTGAGGGCCCGAGACCTGTCGCTCCATCTGGGGGTCCGGCGCCCGCCGCTCCGCCTGGGGGCCCGAGACCTGTCGCTCCGCCTGGGGGCCCGAGACCTGTCGCTCCGCCTGGGGGCCCGAGACCTGTCGCTCCGCCTGGGGGCCCGGCGCCCGCCGCTCCGCCTGAGGGCCCGAGACCTGTCGCTCCACCTGGGGGTCCGGAGCCTGCCGCTCCGCCTGAGGGCCCGAGACCTGTCGCTCCACCTGGGGGGGTCCGTCCGGCGCCTGCCGCTCCGCTGAGGGCCCGAGACCTGTCGCTCCATCTGGAGGTCCGGCACCCGCCGCTCCACCTGGGGGCCCGATGCCTGTCGCCCCGCCTGGGGGCCGATGCCTGTCGCCCCGCCCTGGGGGCCCGATGCCTGTCGCCCCGCCTGGGGGCCCGACGCCCGTCGCCCCGCCTGGGGGCCCGGCGCCCGCCGCCGCTCCGCCCGGGGACCCGATGCCGGTCGCCCCGCCCCGGGACCCGATGCCGGTCGCCCCGCCCGGGGGCCCGATGCCGGTCCCCCCGCCCGGGGGACCCGATGCCTGCTGCTCTGCCCGGGGGGGGCCTGGTGCCTGCTGCTCCGCCTGGGGGCCCGGTGCCTGCTGCCCCGCCTGGGGGCCCGGTGCCTGCTGCCCCGTCTGGGGGCCCGCTGCCTGCTGCTCCGCCTGGTGGCCCGCTGCCTGCTGCTTCGCCTGGTAATCCGATGTGCCTCTGCCCGGAGTCCTGCCCGATGTGCCTCTGCCCGAAGTCCTGCCCGGTGTGCCTCTGCCCGGAGTCCAGCCCGGTGTGCCTCTGCCCGGTGTGCCTCTGCCCAGAGTCCAGCCCGATGTGCCTCTGCCCGGAGTCCAGCCCGATGTGCCTCTGCCCGGAGTCCAGCCCGATGTGCCTCTGCCCGGAGTCCAGCCCAATGTGCCTCTGCCCGGAGTCCAGCCCAATGTGCCTCTGCCCGGAGTCCAGCCCAATGTGCCTCTGCCCGGAGTCCAGCCCGATGTGCCTCTGCCCAGTGTGCCGCTGCCCGGAGTGCCTCTGCCCGGAGTCCAGCCCGCTGTGCCTCTGCCCGGAGTCCAGCCCGATGTGCCTCTGCCCGGAGTCCAGCCCGATGTGCCTCTGCCCGGAGTCCAGCCCGATGTGCCTCTGCCCGGAGTCCAGCCCGATGTGCCTCTGCCCGGAGTCCAGCCCGATGTGCCTCTGCCCGGAGTCCAGCCCAATGTGCCTCTGCCCGGAGTCCAGCCCAATGTGCCTCTGCCCGGAGTCCAGCCCAATGTGCCTCTGCCCGGAGTCCAGCCCGATGTGCCTCTGCCCAGTGTGCCGCTGCCCGGAGTGCCTCTGCCCGGAGTCCAGCCCGCTGTGCCTCTGCCCGGAGTCCAGCCCGATGTGCCTCTGCCCGGAGTCCAGCCCGATGTGCCTCTGCCCGGAGTCCAGCCCGATGTGCCTCTGCCCGGAGTCCAGCCCGATGTGCCTCTGCCCGGAGTCCAGCCCGATGTGCCTCTGCCCGGAGTCCAGCCCGATGTGCCTCTGCCCAGAGTCCAGCCCGATGTGCCTCTGCCCGGAGTCCAGCCCGATGTGCCTCTGCCCGGAGTCCAGCCCGATGTGCCTCTGCCCGGAGTCCAGCCCGATGTGCCTCTGCCCGGAGTCCAGCCCAATGTGCCTCTGCCCGGAGTCCAGCCCGATGTGCCTCTGCCCAGTGTGCCGCTGCCCGGAGTGCCTCTGCCCGGAGTCCAGCCCGCTGTGCCTCTGCCCAGAGTCCAGCCCGATGTGCCTCTGCCCGGAGTCCAGCCCGATGTGCCTCTGCCCGGAGTCCAGCCCGATGTGCCTCTGCCCGGAGTCCAGCCCGATGTGCCTCTGCCCGAGTCCAGCCCAATGTGCCTCTGCCCGGAGTCCAGCCCAATGTGCCTCTGCCCGGAGTCCAGCCCGATGTGCCTCTGCCCAGTGTGCCGCTGCCCGGAGTGCCTCTGCCCGGAGTCCAGCCCGCTGTGCCTCTGCCCGGAGTCCAGCCCGATGTGCCTCTGCCCGGAGTCCAGCCCGATGTGCCTCTGCCCGGAGTCCAGCCCGATGTGCCTCTGCCCGGAGTCCAGCCCGATGTGCCTCTGCCCGGAGTCCAGCCCGATGTGCCTCTGCCCGGAGTCCAGCCCGATGTGCCTCTGCCCGGAGTCCAGCCCGATGTGCCTCTGCCCGGAGTCCAGCCCGATGTGCCTCTGCCCGGAGTCCAGCCCGATGTGCCTCTGCCCGATGTGTGCTCTGCCCGGAGTCCAGCCCGATGTGCCTCTGCCCGGAGTCCAGCCCGATGTGCCTCTGCCCGGAGTCCAGCCCGATGTGCCTCTGCCCGGTGTGCCGCTGCCCGGAGTCCTGCCCAGTGTGCCAGTCTTTGATATCCCGCCAGTTACCAGACCCGGGCGGTGGAACATTTTGCCCAGCTAGGACTGTTTGGAGCGTCCTGAGGCCGCTCCTTGAGGGGGGGGGGTACTGTCGGGAATGGACTGGCCAGCAATAGTGGGACTCAGCTGCCTTATGAGCTGCAGTACCAGGGCTGGCCAGCGGGTGCTCCCAGCAATCAGAGACTCAACCTTGCAGCCAGTCAAACACCTGGAACTAATTATACTGGCGTATTTAAGGGACATTCAGACCTGCAGACTCTGCCTTGGTGTTGTGTTTCTCTTGTGCCCTGTATCCTGTTCCTGCTCTCTGTTCCTGTCTGATTCTCTGCTGACCCTGCTCTGATCCCTGGCTTGTCTGACCATTCTCCTCTGCCTGACCCTCCGTACCACGCTGCCCGCTACCTGCTGAACCTGGCCTGTGACCCCGACCATTCTCCGCTTGCTCCCCCTGTACCTACCTGCCCGACTGATATTGACCCGGCCTGCCTGACGACGCTTGCATTGTATGTACTGTTATCTGTGGGTGGTTTGGTTTGGTTCGTTTGCACTGTGTTATGTTTTAGTATTGCACTGCGTTTATGTTTGTATGGTTAGTGTTAATAAATTACATTGTTTATAACATATCTGAAGTCTGCGTTTCCCTGCGTCAGTCACACACCTCTGGTCATACCCGAGAGCTCTGACAACCAGAGACCCTATAATCATGGTTTTGAGGATCTTCCCTCCCAAAACTCTGAATCTCCAAAATTTCTGCCCTACACTGCAGTGTACGTACACACATGTAGTGTAATACTGCTATGTTTATAGTTCACATGCGTATGTTATGTGTGTATAATTGTTAAGTGTGTGTGTGTAGGTGATTTAGATCTAATTCATATGGCCACAAGGGGCCATACAGTGTCAAGGAGGAGTGTATTCCTGTGTCTGGGAGTCATAGGTGTTTATTTACAGCTGATGGCAACAGCCTGTATAAATCAATGACAGGCTTACAGACACTGAGACTTTACGCATGTAACTCCACATTTGAGCATTTACATGTGTATAGGGATTTACAGTATGAGTGGTTCAGTTTACATCCAGGATGTGAGGTTACATGTGTACAGTCATTGATTCATACAGGCTGCTTACCACAGCTGTACTCAAACACCTATGATTCATAGCTGCAGAAATATGCTGTGTGTGAATGAGGTCTTGTAGATCATTAACATGGGGGGCTGTGGCTTCAATCTATTCTCCTTCTATGGGAATTCAGCGACTGTATGGAAACAGATTCAAGTCCTAATTTGACAGGTATGTGAGTGCAAGGCCCTGAATGCAGGCATGGCATGTACATAAAATTTCCCTGCCGGAAGGTGGAAAGCAGGTTCGTGCCAATGTCTCACATCACCATTTCTGGCTCAAGATGTCACATGGGTAACATCCTCTGGCCTGCCCCTGCAGACCTAAGAGCATCTCTGCTCCAATATTGTTCCTGTCCCTTGGCAAACCAGCTGCAGAACTGCTTGGCATATTTTAGCTGAGTCATAGCCTCTTGAAAGCTTAAAAGCTTAAAAGGGACTGGTGGTCCAGAAGATGACTCAGCGGAAGAAGGCATTGAGGAGCAGGAGGAAGAGGTGGAGCTGACAGCTCTGGCACCATTACCACTAGTGTTAAGGAAGTAGGATGGCAGAACAGGCTTCAGCAGTGAGCCCCATCCTGCATCTTTCCTGGCTGCCAGTCACCCAGTGGACCATAAATGATACATAGCATCGCTGCCTGTACTTGCTTAACCTCGTGTTTGTGGTCATATGGATTTTGCTGCTGACCACATGGCCCAGGAAACATGCCTTTCATAGGATGGTGAAGGGCAGGGATGGCCTTATGGGCAATGAAATGGCACAGGGAACATCACTTCCAATTGATTGTCCATGACTGGTGCCCCCTCCTCCAAGCTCCCATTACTCTCCTTCAGCCGATTTTTCCATGCCTGCAAGACAACAGTGTACTGCAAGCTAGTCTGAGCCTGGGTGACAGAAGAGGAGGAGGAGGATGAAGAAGATTTAGTTATCTGCTATACCACCTCCTCATGTGTTGTGGCTGTACAGCATACCCAGCATCCAAAAAAAAAGTTAAGCATGCCCTGCCTACAGGGCATGTACCAGGTCCATGACCACCATTTTGTAAGCTGCTTGACCCCTCATAACTGTATGGGAATCTCTACCTCTCCCTGTTGGCCTCTGAATCTTGATGTGGTATTATTTAAGAATGTAATTTGCGGCTACTGTAATAGAAATGCTGTATGGCGGTAGTGGTTGGGGTGGTTCCTAAAGTTGTGGTGCACTGTAAAATGTGGTGCTTGGGTGTACAACAACTAAACAGCATCTCAGTGATATGTGGTGTTCTGCTGCAAATTAATATCAGCTGTTGTGGTGACACCAACAGATTCACAGTTTTGTTGCCACTGTTGACGGTTATATATAAATAAAAGCCCCTAACTAAATAAACCAAACTAAAATAGAACTATAAACTACAGTAAAGTTAAATAAAAAAAAAAAACCCAAACACTTTTTTTACATTGGAAAACAGCAGTGACACAAAAACAGAATCTGCCTACTGACAAGAAAAGTAGTCCTCAAATGG